TCCGGCGGGAAGGTAACGGCGCTCCATGCAGTCATGCCGGCCACATGACCTTGGAGGTGTCTTCGGACAACGCTGGCTCTTCGGCTTAGAAATGGAGATGAGCACCACACCCCGGAATCGGAGCTGTTAGGCTCAAAAATAACCTTCAGTTGGGGTGATTCCACCATAAATATAGCAGAGAACCAGAAGTAAACTTCATAACCAGCAGAAACTTACGTGTGATGAGCTGGGATAAGTTTCTATTTCTTAGGATGGCACAGGATTGCAGAGTGAGAACTTTAGGTTCAAAAATATTTATTGAAGTAAAAGCAATACATTCCAGATAGAAAAGCTCACCAGCTTACTAAGTCTCATCTTCTAAGAAAGGTAGAATCATGGATCTGGAAGAGACCTCGTGGGCCAAAGGGTAAAATGTCAAAGAGTTGATGCAGCTACATTTTGCCTAGAGAGAGAGAGAGGCAAGATGTGTATCCATCCTGCCACCTCCCATCTCCAGTACTCTGCCTACCTGACTGCCCCCAGACTGGGCCCTTTTGTGGGGGTCTCCTGGCACCCAAAAGCACTGCCAGCCCACTTGAAAGAGCCCCACAGAGTGGGACACCTCGAAGGACTGCACCAGGCCAGCTCCGTCCCAGAGTAGCTTTGGCAGGACTGGTTCCACTGAGATTTCCCACTGTGGACACCTTCACAGGCAGAGTGTGGATCTCGGACCTCAACTCCAGTTTCTATCTAAAGTGGCTTCTGACTCTCCCCACACGGTGATATCCCCCCCCCCCCCACACACACACACACACATGCACATTTTGCCAGTCTGTGAGGTCCCAGCTTGGATGCATTTGGCATGGCTTTTGCTCATCCTTCTTTCCTTCCTTCTATTCCTTCCTCTGCTATCTGCTTCCTTCCCTTCTTCCTTCCTTCTCTTCTCCCCCCCCCCTCCTTTTCCCATCTACCATCCTTCCTCTTTTTCTCTTTCTTCCTTCTCTCCTTCCCTCCCTCCCTCCCTCCCTCCCTCCCTCCCTCCCTCCCTTCCTTCCTTCCTTCCTTCCTCCCTTATCTTTTTTTCTTTCTCCCCATCTATCTTCCTTCCCTTTTCCTCCCTTTTTCTTTCCCCCTTTTCTTCCCATCTACCATCCTCTTTTCTTTCTTCCCTTCCCCCTTTCTTCCTTTTTCCTTTCCCATTCCTCCCCTTTCTCCTTCCTTTCTTCTGTTCTACCTCCATTCCTTTTCCCCTCCATTTCTCCCCCTCTATTTTTCTCACTTTCTCTCCTCCTTCCTCCTCTTCTTCCTTCCTTCCTTCCTTCCTTCCTTCCTTCCTTCCTTCCTTTCTTCCTCCCTTCCTTCCTTCCTTTTTGTTTTCTCATTCCTCCCCTTTCTCCTTTCTTTCTTCTGTTCTTCCTCCATTCCTTTTCCCCTCCATTTCTCCCCCTCTATTTTTCTCACTTTCTCTCCTCCTTCCTCCTCTTCTTCCTTCCTTCCTTCCTTCCTTCCTTCCTTCCTTCCTTCCTTTCTTCCTCCCTTCCTTCCTTCCTTCCTTCCTTCCTTCCCTTCCTTCCTTCCTTCCTTCCTTCCTTCCTTCCTTCCTTTTTGTTTTCTCATTCCTCCCCTTTCTCCTTTCTTTCTTCTGTTCTTCCTCCATTCCTTTTCCCCTCCATTTCTCCCCCTCTATTTTTCTCACTTTCTCTCCTCCTTCCTCCTCTTCTTCCTTCCTTCCTTCCTTCCTTCCTTCCTTCCTTCCTTCCTTTCTTCCTCCCTTCCTTCCTTCCTTCCTTCCTTCCTTCCTTCCTTCCTTCCTTCCTTCCTTCCTTCCTTCCTTCCTTCCTCCTTCCTTCTTTCCTTTCTTTTTTATTTCTTCCTTCCTTTCTTCCTCCTTCCCTCCCTTGCCTTCCTCAGAATGGCTTGCAAGACCCCTCCTGGCATCCCTTCAACCTGGCCTTGCCCCCCTTCTCCTCAAATCCTCTATTTAACCTCTTCTCTTGGTTTCTCTCTTTCCTCCCTTCTCACTTGCTCCTTGCCAGGATTTCACGAGAGTAAGTATTGGCCTGGGTCGGGGACCCTTTGGTGTTGCTTTGCCACAAAGCGCTGCTCATCGTCTCCCATCCGCTCAAAGCAAAAAGGCCCCTTAGAGTTAAAGGGGGATCAGGAGCTTCTATCTCTGTTTCTAGAAAAATAGATAAACAAAGAAATCATGTCTTTAGAAATAAGTTCAGGGAGCCCTTTTTCATATGTCCAGCGTGAGACTTCCCTGCAGACTAAATTGTAGGAATGCCGTGTATGTTGTTCTTGTAACCTAATTGGGTCTCATGCTGCGTTTTGCCTCCAATTTCTTCCTAGACATTTTAGTTTATTACACCCCTATTTTGTTCTCCCAGTTTTCAAAATTCCCAGGCATTTCTCATTTCTGTTCCTAAGGGAGGGCATTTTGGGTCTCTGGTGCCTACAATTTCCAGGGCAGAGAGTGTGTAAAACACCCCCAAATCCACAGATCCTTCTGTAGCAGCAAAAATCCTGCTCATTGCATTTCTGTTGGGGAATCTGAGTGGTTAGACTCAAAATAATTCCACCATAAATATAGCAGAGTGCCTGAAGTAAACTTCATAACCAGCAGAAACGTACATGTGATGAGCTGGGATAAGCGTCTATTCCTTAGGATGGCACAGTTTGCAGAGTCAGAATTTTAGATTCAAAAGTATTTATTGGAGTAAAAGAAATACATTCTTGATAGAAAAAGTCTTGCTCATGAAGAATCATCTTCTAAAGAAGTAAAAGGGTAAAAAGTTAAAAAAATCCATGCAGCTACATTTTGCCTCAAGAAATAGGCAAAATGTGTCCGCAGTGGAAGGGAGAAAAGGCAGAAGAGAACAATGGTGGAGACTACATGGTCAACCCAGGGCAATAAAACATAGAAGAGGAATTCCATTCCTACATCTTCAAAGGGGGAAGAGACAGTGGCTAGCAGGAGGAGGAAAGACAAAGCTCTTTTGGTAAACATGCCTAGGAATGTGGGAGAAAGGAATCTCTCAGCTTAATCCTGTCTGTAGTCTAGCTACTCATTGAGGTCTGGAGACTCGGTGACACAAGAGTCTTGTGCAGATCAGGGATGAACCCCAACAGATTCTAAAGCCAGGTCCAGTTGATTCTTGGCCTCCTGTGTGATGGGATTTCCAAATGCCACCTGGCACAGGTATCCTTTGCATGGAAAAAAATGAGTGGCTGTCCTAGAGAGGTGCCAAGGGAAGACTTCTGTGGCACTTCCAAAGAGGAAATTTAGCCCAGAAATTGACCCAAAAAGTGATGTTGGCTTCTTCATGGGCCAGTGTGAGTCCTCCACCTTCATTCCCATTAAAAAGGGAATAATCCCCTTCTCTGAGTTGAGAGAACCAATCCAGTCCTAGGAAAATCTGAAAGAACTGACCACCACGACTCTCTCTGCTCTTGAGCCTCTTCTGGATGTGGCAGTAACAGCGTCCAAGGCAACTGGCCCTTTCCCTCCTCTGTGGAATGGTTGGCTTAAAATAAGAGTTAAAGATCCAGGTGTATGCTGCTCCAACTAATGTCATGTCCTACTGTTGG